TGTTTCCCCAGTTCAGTAAATCACTTTCCGATTTGGCTCTCGTTTGAACTTGCCATCTATAGGGAACTAATCTTTCATCTGACTTGCAATTGTCTGACCCGCCGTTACCAGTGATCTAGGTGAAACGGATCTGAAATTAACTTTGGATGAATGTGTCAGTCATAATGCCTTGTCGAAGCGCTGTAACCCAGGGCGCTCTCTGGCAACAGCCGTTCTTCGCGAATCAGTTAACTGTTGACAATCTCAGCAAACTGGATCTAGAACCAACCCTCGTATTCACTCAGCGGTTACCGTGAAACGGGCCATATTTTGATCTGTGGGAGAGACTGTTCGAGCCCTTGTGGGGCGAGGGTGAGATAGGAAGTACAATCCCAAGGAAGAGCCTGTTGGTCGCTGAGGACCTCTGAAGCGGGCTTGGCGAGTGACAGGCGCCGTGGCCCTTGGCTTCGGCGAACAGTAGGCGCCCCTCCCCGGGTCTCCTCACAACGTGTCACAAAGGCAACTATAGATCATAATCGATGGTTCTGGTCTAATATACGGGACGATGCTAGATACGTAGTTGCCAACTGTCTGGTCTGTACCGCCGATCGTGCCCCAATACGGGGACCAAACATGATAGTACCGACAAAAGTAGAGCGCCCTTTCCAGCGAGTCAGTATAGACACGACAAATATCGACGTGCCACCTGGCCCAAACCGTTGCGAATATTCCATCCTTTTAGTTTTAATAGACCATTTTTCCAAATACATCGAGGTATACCCCTGCAAGACCCGTAAGACCGCAGAGATAGCCACGTACATCGATCGGTTTCTCTATACTCACCTAGATACGGAAGAATAGGTCCGAGTTCAAAGGTGAGGTAGAGGAATTGCTCGCACGAAGAGGCATTATGCTTCGACACACTGCACCCCACGTTTCTCAGTCGAACGGGTTGGCCGAAAATGCCAATCGCATGATTAAGATTGCCCTTCGTAGAAATTTAGCAGCGCGTGACACGCATCCTTGGCCCGAGATTGTATGCCAAATCGTCGGAATTCACCGGGCCACCCCTCATGAATCCACGGGGTTCACCCCCTTCCAACTTCGAGCCAATAGCCTCCCATATATCGATTACCGGGGCAACTCGGAAATTGCCAAAGCCGGGGGAAGAGACACGCGTGCCGCCCTTAAGGCCAAGGCCAAAAGGTATGCCGATTTAATGGAAAGGGCCATTCCTAAGCTAGCCCGAAAAAGACAGAAAATGATTGATCTAGCCCATGGAAGACAAGTCCGTAGCTACGAGGCCCGAAATGGGAATGCCGGTCCCCAACATCAATATAAATTAGGGGACCTGGTACAGGTACGTAAATGTGCACGCGACCGGAAACTCGCTCCCTAGTTCTCTGGCTGTTTCCGCGTTGTCAAGCTCGGACCCAACGGTGCTAACACGGTGCGCATCGTGCCCGAGGCCAGCGCCAGCCATAGCTCTGTCCCCATCGTCCGCCATACCTCTTATATCCATCCTCTCTCTCCCTCTGATCTCCCTCCATCTCCCTCATATGCCGAAGAAGAGGGAGACGACGATTTAGTTCCCGCTTCGCTCTCTCCCTCCTGCTCCCCTCTTCCATCTTCTTCCCCGTCCTCGCCATGAGTTTCATCATGGAGCAAGCCCTTGGCGATCATCTGCTGCAGCCACATGGCTACATCTCTGAGATCCGACAAGTTCGTCATCCACGGCTCAATCCTGATCTTCGAAGGGTGGCGCAGTTCTTCTGCACCCAGGAATTGTGTGTCGCTGCTGCGTTCCGATTCGACAGGAGTCAGCAGGTAGTAGTGTTGGCAGAGGTGGTGGCTCTTCATTGACGAGCGGCTCCAGGGACGAGCCACGTCACCACGGTCGCTGCCTTCACCGACGACATCAGCGCGGTCAGCCCACTACGGCATACCGCGATTTTGACCACTCTACGACAGTGGACGCACCAGGTGTCAGTTGAGTGGCATCACAGTCTTGCGCGTCCAGGGAACAATCTGGTCCCGACATCCGGGACTGATTTCGACGGAATTCGCACCTCTCCGCGCCAGCCGGCAGTCGTGCTCCCCACCCTCATTCCCTTCCAACGCCCCCCATGAACCGCGCCGCTCCTCTCTCCACCCTTGGTCTCCCCTCTTTTTTTCCCACCTTCTGGCAATCCGATCTCCATCCTCGCCTTTCTTTCCTGTTCGAGCCTCTTGCCGTCCCGCTTCTTGGTCCCGGGCATTGGCAGGTGTGGCGCGGGACCTTTGTCGATTTGTCTGTGTGCTTGGCCCGAGTGCAGGTGACGTGGACGCGGACCAGTGAGCATCCTGCGTGTATCGAGTACCTATAGCTGTTGATCCTGCAGGCTTGGAGAACGGACGTGGAAGGTGATCCTCTCGGTTTTCTCTTCGGATCAGTGCGGCCGGACCATCGCCAACCGATTACTCAATAACTCGTCGTTCTGCTCATGCAACTAGCTAACGATCTCTCCCTCGACATCGTTTCGCAAAGCGACGACAGTCCCGCTCCGCACGTCATCACGCGAACATTGACGCCGTATCTTCAGTGGACTGCGTGCTTGGAAGAACCCGGGAGTGACAGCACTTTGCCATCGCGGCAGGAGTACTTGAAGCCGTACGGAATCATTGATCGCGCCTTCTATCCGAAGGAAGAACCTGAGGAGGCGCTTGAAGGAGAAGAGGAAGCCACTGAAGAAGAGGGCGACGCCGATGAGGAAACGTCGGAGGAGGGAAGTTACAGTGAGTACAGCGAAGGGGAGCTGACTGAAGAAGAGGAGGAGGTAGACAAAGAAGAAGAAGAAGGAGAAGAGGGGGAAGCCGGATCGGAGTGGGAGGACTTGCCGGAAGAAGCGGCGCGCACAGGCACGGAGGCGGAAGATCCCGAAGCGGCACATAGAAGGGAGGAGATCGCCGCCGGGAAAAACCAGCTAGAGATCGCCAGCGGTGCGAGCTTGTGCATCAACGACGCCCCAACCACAGATCCAGAGCCCCCCGAGCCCGAAGATGGCGGATCAGCAACCGCGGCTCCGAGCGCATCACGACGGAGACAGAGCCGATCACCCTCCCCCTCCACCCCAACCCGTCCCCCAGTTCGTCCACGTACCGATGCAGGGAATCGGCCTTCGTCCCCGGTCATTATCCCGCCGTCCCCTTGACTACCTCACCCTCTGCCAGATCTCTACCCCCGTCACCTTCCCTCGCAACCCTTTTCCTCCCAATACCTTCCGTCACTTTTACTCCATCCGTCTCGCCGTTACCGTCCATCCCCACCCTTCCCTCCAATCCACAAACCCCACGTTCTGTTTACACGTCCTCTTGTTCAGTGCCGCGTGGGAACAGAGTAACGTAGTAGAAATCTACTGCGTAATCACATGAACCAACCCCGCGTGTCGCCATCACGAGTTGTTTCGCGCAGCGCTCTTCCGTACTTTCTCCACCCTTTACCTTGACTATCTCGCCTCCCTCCCCCACAGCGATGATCGGTTTCCCCGCTTTCACCGAATCATTCGCTACGAGGAGCTCCCGATTTCGGAGGAAGGGATGAACCGTTACTTACCCCCACTTCCCCCCAACCCTCCCCGTCGACACCCCCCCATATATAATGTCTACTTCCCCATTCTCACACGGCGTTGATACCCGTCACGTGTCCTCCGAGCAGTATGAATCAGCAGTTTTCGCGAAGATCACACCATTGACGATGACGTCAACTTAAGCTCTGATTCGATGGATTGCGCTGGACTGGGGGTGCAGAGCACACGGAGATCTGTGAAACCATGATGGTGCCCCCTGGACGATCTCCGAAGTTCGAAGGACAGGGGGTTGCATATGACAAGACTGCAAAGAACGGGATCCGAAACAACACGAGCCGGCATGCTTCACGGAGATCTTGCCACGGATGTTATCGCCAACTCATCATGCTGATCCCAGCTCCTACTTCTTCCTCCTTCTTTATCTCTTTTCACCCCCCTCATTCCTTGTACTTCTTCTTGCTTCTTTGAGCTTTCATGCAATCAGGAGATCGCATAATTTTGGAACCCCCTGCGTGTCACATATGTGACGAACCACTTCCCGACCCTGTGCTATCTTTTGCACCCCTTAACTCAATATCCCCCTGCTTGTATCATACCGACCCCTCAAAACCCTCGTCGCTTTTCTTGATTTCAGGCGCTTTGTTTGGGCCCCCATTTGTCCGAAGTTCTATTGATTCTTGGAATTCTGCTTTTTGTAATTCGGGGAATGCACGAGAAATTACGCGCGCCTTAGCGAGCGCACTAGGAATCGGGATCAGCAGTTAGGAATTACGGAATGAGCGGAGCCCGACGTATCTTGTTCCTTGCATGAATGTTCTCGGTCACGATGGAGAAAACTCTAGGAATTTTGTGGGAATACGGATAGGCATAGGACTTTCATTTCCCGCGTCGACTTTCGCGCGCGGACATGGTGATTTCAATTTTTGAATTGGTGTAGGATATAGGCAAGCTGTAACTGTTTGGGTGCCTTTTTCTCTTATTATCGGCACCGCGCATGCGAGCTTCCTCCTCCTTATTTCCCGCGTCATTCTTCCCCCGCGCTCTCTTCTCTCTCCCTTCCCCCTCCTCTTTTTCTCCCATTGCAACTGTTTTTTTTTTCCTCTCTCTCTCTCTCTTTGCTTTTTGCGCGCCTGTTTTCCCTTCTTGATCATCTGAATCTTGGACCCGTCTCACGCTGCTTTTCATGCCTCGTCTCTTCTTGCTCTTCAACCTTGGCTCACGAAGCCCGGTTAATCCTCCGATTACCCCGGCTCACCAATCAGACACGTTGAGTAAGAGGATCTTCCTATTGCGCGACGAATCTAATTGGCCGACCATCGGGTTTTGAAGGATCAACATGGCTTCCCCTGATCCCCCTTCGCTGAACCTTCTCTCCTTACACCTCGATCTCCCCTCTGACTCTTCCCCCATCTATCTCCTCTCTCGCAACTATAAATTCTGCAAGCGCGTCCGCAAAGCTCTCTTATGTTTTTCACTCGTAAGCCAGCTTCCGGGAAGCAGTGGCTAGGTGAAGCGTTTGGTGCGAGTCGAAAAGTCCTGTCGGGCTGACTGTAGTCTGGCCGGCTGCGCACTTGATCGCCACGACGGACTGTGGGATCCGGGCGAGCCGAGTCGGGTCTGCGTCAGCAGGGTGACGATCGCAATGGCGGAAGTTAGCATGTGACGCCCGGGATCGTCGGTGCGCGTATGAGGATTTGAGATTGGAGTTGAGTGGATGATTGGCCTGGGGCCATATTGGAATTTCACGGCGAATGCGCCTTCATGATTGCGGATCATTTTTTTGGTGTAAGTTCATGGTTGTGAAGCCGAATGCTCTCTTGTCGAATTCTGGTATCTTTTGTCTCGACCTGTCTCGTCTATCCCTCCCATCTCTTTCTCTCTCTCTGACTTGAATGACGTTGTGTTGTGGGTTTGTCTCTCTTGTGAACCGAAGCGAACTCTTGTGAGTTCTCGCAAGGAAGAAATTCTTCCAGAACTCTTCCATTAGTTTCCTGGGTAATCCCCAGATGTCGATAACTTAATCGTCTTGTCTTGTGAACGGTGGATGCGTGTGTACAATCCCTCGGTTGATTTCTGACCCGTGCACCCTTGCCATTTTCGCACCTTCCGCAGTGGATGTATGCATAGGAATGCTTGTATTTCTGTGATTGCTTAGACTCATCGCTCGACGGGATTTTGTTCGAGAACGCAAGAGTGTTTAGATCTGTAGTTCTGAATGCACTTGGCATGCCATCTGCCTTATGCTGCACGACATCAACAGACAGTTTGTGGGGCCGCTTCGAAAAAGCTAGGCGCCTCGTGTTTTTGTGATCGAGTCTGCTGAAACTGAGTCGCGGGTTGATCCCTCGGAACTCCAACCCGATTAATGCATAATCATGCAGGTTTCGTAAGCTGCTTCTCTCGTGTCTAAAGGAAGGAAGGAACTAATTAGTTCTTTTTGTGCTTTTTGATGACGTCTAGAGGATTGGTGTAAACTCCGTCTGATTGATTGATATGTGGACTAACGGTCGTTCCTCGATCGGGCGCCAGCCTTCCGTATCTCCCTCGCCGACACGCCCCTTCCCTTACAACGAGGAAAGGACACGTGTATGCGAGTGGGACATACGGGAAGCTGTTGCACGCATCGGCGGACAATATTACTTCCCTCCTGAAAATCGATGTTCCGGGTTCGTGGATGCGGGCTTTGTTATTATCGATACGCACTTTCCACCCTACTCAGTATTGTTGTCATTTAACGAGCTGATCGTCATTCCGTGGACGACAGTGGCGCCCCATTGGCCTTGAGCCTATGCACTGAGTGCCAGCGTTTCGATCGCTATGAATCGAAGGGCTTCCACTACCGGATACGGAGTGAAGACGAGCACAAGGAAAGAACCACTCGGCTGAGACCGGACTCGGAATTGACCAGCGAACGATGTCGGGAATGAATACGGAAACGGGATACGCGGAGTGTACCGAAGCCCTTCCGCTCTAAACGAAGATCCGTAGCGCGGTGGGAAGCTCGACAATACTTTTTGGATTGAATTTGGATTTTTTTCTTTTCGCGCCGTGCCCGCGCGCACATTCTGCGACGCGTGAAAGCAACCGACTTACTTCATCGGGCCAATACGGGGGATTTCAGTTTTGTCTGTGTCCCCACACTCAATTTTCCAAAAATCCTTGGCACACCCCATCTTGGTGTTTTTCTGGGCCTTCATTCCGCACCTTTAGCACTCCGGACGAAAGACAGCACAGAGCGTGAGGTTAGCGAGTCACATCCCAACCCCAGCACATCCCCTTTGCACAAGCTGACCCTCCACTTTCATCTGTACCCCCCGCCCCAACCCCCCCACTCCCCCCCCCTCTGCCCCTAGAGGTGCGTTATACCTTGAGTAGTGAGTGGCAGGGTAGGGCTCGTGGGGTGGTTCCGCTCAGGGGCTCCAGGTAGCATAATTGGAATGACCGGCCTCAGGGAATACCTACCTTTTGGCCCTCGCCGCACCACTCACTAAATGCACAAAATGAGAATGAATCTTCCTCTAGAAGAGAGGAGATGCACAGCCTTAACTTAAAAAAAAAAAGAAAGAAAAAGAAGAAAGAGAAAAAAGAAACTATATTCGTTTCGCAATCTTCTTTGTATAGATTTTCCTCATCTCTCATCCTCTCACTACTCTATGTATAGTACGGGGGAACACCAACCAAACCTGGAACTCTCCCCAGCCCACGGTGTAGGTTGGGACCACAGCAGTGGTGCGAGAGCAAGGCTTATATCAGCCCCTCATCACGATGATTCGGGGTGATCAGGCATTGGCGACGGGGGAGACAGGTGATGCTAGTGACGAGCATCTTTGGCCGGTCACTTGCACCTCCCACTACCCCCCTCCAACCCCACATTAGCAGTGTCTAAAGGCCAATATCATCGCTGCATAGCAACCAACAATATTGGCCAAGGTCCTGCCAATGCCGGCTTGGAGGGCCAACGGATTATCTCTAGCTGGTAGAACACCAAACTTGCCCAGGCACCCACGTGAGGAGGGTGGGGATTGAGCCACGATCTCCTGAGCAAACTTTTGTCTTCTCTGCATTTGGTGAGTGGAAAGCCATAAAAGACAGCCGGCGAATCTTTCCATGTTCTAGCAGAAGGTTCATTCTCATTTTGCACATTTTTTTCGCTCGATTGCACGATTCGAACGCATGTTCGATCACATGGCTGAGTGCGCCAAAACTGTCCTCGGCTCGACTCGGCCCTCGATTCCAGGATTCGAACGCATTCGGTCACATGGCCGAGTGCGCCGAAATTTTCGTCGGGTCGGCTCGACTCGGCTGGATTTTCTGAAGGCTGGACCACGTCATTGAACTCGATTTATTTTTTATTATTTTTTTACTTTTTTTCCCCCCGTAATCGCGCGCGCATCCAGCCGGGGCCTTGACCCACTAGCGGGGGTTTAGTTACGTTTCGTGTATTTTCCAACGTGGCCACAGTAGGGCCGTGAGATTTTCAGATCGGATGGCAATGAGCCATGTACACTCGAAACCAGAACAAAACCTCGAGAAGTGGGACATGGCCCCCGGTCAGCTCCATGATGATGCATCATGGCGGTCTTCCTTTCAAATAAAAATAAAATAATTAATCGCGCGCGAAAAGAATTCCCCTCTTCCGGGTTCGGTTTGCGCGGTTGTTTTCTTCGGATCTCTGGAAGCCCTCGTCCTCTCGTTACAGCCATACCCTTAGCC